TTCAGCGCCCTTCGCCGAACGGCCGAACGGTCCGGCGCGCCGCAACTCCCCGTTGAACTCGACCCCGGTTGCCTCGAGAACCCGACCGGCGTCGTGGGCCTCGCAACATTTCGTTTCAGTGGCGCTCTGTGCGATATTGATATCATGTAGAGCAGCCTGCGCCCGACCGCGACTGCCTCCGAGTAGCCTCGCGCTGTCGTCTCGCGCTCTGAAGAGAGGGGGCGAGCCCCTGCCCATGACAGGGCTGCTGGCGCATCTGGCGCGCCCTGCCACTCAGACGTCGCTCGCGTCGTCGCGAAGGCAACTCGCCTGGCGCGAGATGCGGGGGGGGGCGCGGGAGGGCGCAATGACGTGGACCGGCATCGCCTGGCGCGTCGCCCTCATGGGCCCGCGCGGCGCTCGGCGACTGCGCTGGGCGCCCCGATGGGCATAATTGCCGCCCATCGCTCGCAGCCGCCCCTTTCTGTCGTCGGCCTTCGCCTTCGCCTGATGTTATTCTCTCGCGTGTGCTGTGCTCTCGCCGCCTGCTCGTCGATCTCAGCCCCCCGCGCGCTTCCTCGGCCGCGGCGGTCCTCGACGAGGGGCTGCCGACTGACGTCTGCGATTGCCGCCCCAGGACTTGCCAGCCATCTCATATTTGGGATCGCCGGGCGTTCCCCGCGCGCGCGCGCCTGCAGAATGGCCTGCCGCAGCCTGCCCGGGCTCCCAGGGCAGGCGAGGGAGGCCGCGTCCAGCTGGTCATAGATGATGGCCAGATCGAAGACCTCCACCACAACCCGCAGCTCGCGCGTCGAGCAGTCGCCCCCCCCCCGGCCCGCCATCTGGAGGTGGCGCTCCAGGCGCGTCGCAAAGGCCGTGGCCAGCCGCGCGACAGACGCCATCAACCGCGCGGAAGCACGCGGCCCGTCGAGTGGCCAGTCGGAGCAGCCGTCCGCGACCCGCTTCTTCATCGCCTCGACCCAGACACGCTCTCGTCGTCCTTGACCATTGTGATTTGCCACCAACGCTCCGGCGTCATCCTCGCCGCCGCGCGCGCCCTCGTCGGCGTGCTCAGCCGGGCCTCGATCCGATGGGCGCCGCTCGAGGTTCGCCGTCTACGTGGGCCCCAGACCACCAACGACGCCATGCAAGGCCAGACGACGATCTCGCAAGCAGCTGGGGAGGAGGAAGACCGAGACAAGCTGCGCATCCGTCATCGCAATGCGGCCCTGGCGCATCGGGAAGGAAGGAACTCGCGAGGTTCGGACAGCACCATCATGATCCTGTTTTCGTGAACGACGCATGTCTATTAGGCGTTCCGGCTCGACGATGGCCTTTGCCTCGTCGCGAAGCTCCAAGAGCGCATTCCGCTCCGCCGCCCCCGCGGAATGATGCAGAGTCCACGGCGAATGATCGGGGGCAGCGCGGCGACGCACCAACGCCACTTTGATGATCCGCGATCGCCCCACATGACTACCTCGGGTGGGTACGCATCATCTTCTGGCGTGGTTATGGTTCAGACCTGCTCTCCCGTGTCTGACCTCGCCTCCCTCGGACAAGCTTCTCGCGACCGTAATCATCACCCTCATGCCAGAGAGGGCCGTATACACTTGGAGATTTCGTCCATAGCGGTTGACATCGCTGCTCGATCCTATCGACCCGGCGGTATCTAGTACTCCCATCCGCACTCCAGGCGCGGCCCCGATGAGGCCACTGGGGGTTCTCTTCGCGGCTGGCGTTAAGGAAGCCCGCGGGCAGTTCACAAAAATGGCTCTCGACGCTCAAGGGGCGCAGGACAGACACGGCCAGGGCAATCCGACACGGTGGCTGCCTCTGGAGAGTCACAAACGCAGTCCAAGCAACGCGAACGAGAATGTGCAACGAGGGAAACGAACTCTCTGGTTACGGCGGCAGCCACAGCACCTAGGCCAACCTCAGGCCTCATGCGCAGGGCCGAAAAAAACAACAGCCTGCGAGCATACTACCGTCGTGACAACTGACATGTTCCCAAACCGTTTGACGCTGTTTTGGCGTTTACTTATTTTCGGCTTTCCGTCGCCCCGAAGACGGCCCCTGACGCAACCAAAATGGCCCCAACAGAGCCGAAGTGGCCTCCGAAGGCTGAAGACCCAAACGGCTCCCACAAGAGGGCCCCGAAAGGGCTCAAGATATCTCCAAGACGCCCGGCCGGCCAGACAGCATCCGACGGCGCCAGACGGGCCAGTAACGCGCCCAGACAGCCAAAGAGCATCCCAAGGAACCTCCAAAGTCCCCCAACAGGCCCAAAGAAACCTCAAGGGGCATCTCTGCAAACTCCCAGGTGCCCACGCAAGAGCCCCAAGAGGCTCCCAAGAGGCCTCCTCCTCCTCTTCCTTCTTCCCTCTGATTTCCATCGTTTTTCTCCCCCACATCTTTTCCGAAGGGCTTCCACGACGGCTGAAGGAACACGTAGCCCGTTAGCTTGGACGAGCTCTGGCCGCAACGTTCGGCCACATAAGCTCTTTCAAAAGGCAAGGCAAGGCAAGGCGGTGATTCGCCGTAGGCGTCTTCGATCTGTATGGTACCCTTCTACCGGCCCTCTTCTCACTCTGCTATCCGCTGCCTGCCTGACAATTTCCAATCCTGCTTTCCTCTGGTTCCCTCAGTCCCTGTCTCATCCATCTCTTCTTTCACCCCATACCTTCCTCTGTCTCCCAATCTCTCTCTGTCTCTGTCTCTGTCTCTGTCTCTGTCTGTCATTTCTTCTCTCTCAAACTTCTCTGGCTCAAGTCCTGCACATCTCCCGCCGTTCCCCGCGCGCGCCGTCCCCGAGACTGGGCAGGCCCTCAGAACCCGAACGTAGCGAGGGGAGAGGGTGGAGAAGGAAAGGCTCGCCCTGCGGCAAGCTGTGTCTGATCGGGCGGACACTTCCTTCCCACACCGCCAGGATCGGCGGGAGGAGGGGGTGGGGTGATCGAAGGATAGAGGGGGGATCGTGACGGACTGAGGCTGGACTTTAGGGAGGGATTCGGCCACGCCCCCCAAAAATAGAGCCCCTACGGAGGTGGCCCTGCAATTCTGACACCCCCTTCTGCATGGTTCTGAGGTGCTGGAGGCACGCCCGAGCGCCAAGCACCTCATCCAACGACAACGTTTACCAGCGTGGGCCCCGACCAGTGAGTTTGTGCACTGTGGAATTGCAAGTTATGCCGTGCAACATATGTGGTGCAAAACTGTGTGGTGCAAGCCATGCGGTGCAACATGTGCAAGTTGTGTGGTGCAAGCTGTGTGGTGCAAAATGCGTGGTGCAAGCGATGTGGAAGATATGGTGGAATATGTGGTGCAAGTTGTGTGGCACAAGCTGTGTGGTGGAAGCCATGCGGTGTAACCTGGTAGAGCAGATGCAGCCAGCGCGCATGGCACCCACGAGGAAACCGCGGGCCAGGAACGACCGCAACACTGGCGAACCCAATCACCGCACGATGCGGCCAAGGGACAATCGTGGGCGGGCACCAGGCAAAACACTTTTCTTACGTCGCAGCGCGACAGAAGCGATCCGCTCGCGCCTTCAAACAACCCAGGCTACGGCATTCCGAATTGGCCGCTTTCGGAAACCCTGAGCTCAGAAACGTTTTTTCATCTCTTGGGAGGCGTTTGTTTTCCGCCGCCTTCCGCCGCCCTTCTGCTGACTTCCACCGCCGGAAGCGGCCTCGTTCTGCTTCCGTCGACCTTCCGCCGCCTTCCGCGGCGGAAGAAATAACAACTCCTTCGATCCTCGAAGGCAAAGCCCTTTTTGGGTCTCCCCAGCAGTCCCGCCAGCAAGAGGGCGGGTTGCACGGTTTCCTGGGGCCGTAGGGGACCCGAGGAAGAGGAGTAGGAGGAGGAGGAGGAGGAGGAGGAGGAGGAGGAGGAGGAGGAGGAGGTGGAGGAGGAGTGAGGGAGAGGAGGGGGAGGAGGGGGGGAGGGGAGGGGAGGGGGGAGGGAGGGGGAGGGGAGGAGGAGGAGGAGGAGGAGGAGGAGGAAGGAGGAGGGAGGAGGAGGAGGAGAGGAGGAGGGAGGAGGAGAGGAGGAGGAGGAGGAGGAGGAGGAGGAGGAGGAGGGGTGGCCTAAGCCCTTCGGAGAAACCCTCCATCAGCAAGAGGGCCGCCCTTCGGAGAAACCCTCCTCTTCCTGGCGCCCCCCAGAAGCCCAATGTCCTCTCCGGTCAGTGCCCCGCCTCGACCATTTGACCGCCAGCAATTGAGGGCGGGCACCTGGCAAATCACAGGCGAACCCAGCCAGCACGCGTGGCGGACACGAGGCTGCCACGGGGCGACTGCGAGGGAGCCACGGGTGGCCACCGGGCGAAACTCCGGAGAGCATTGGCCAGCACGGGAGGCGGCTGTGGGGCGGCCTCGGGGCGAAGCCCAAGAAACTCGGCCAGCACGCGAGGTGGCCACGGGCTACGACGGAGCCAGGACGAGGACGATATCGGGAGAGGACAAACATTGATCGACAATCCCTGAGATCTGGCGGCTCTGAAAGATGCCTCGGGCGCCGCGGGCCTTCTCAGAGCGTTCCGGAACAGATTTACTGGGGAGGCCATAAGGTACCGATACCGCTACTCCCCGGACCTCTCCCGGGGTGCGTTCTGACCAGGATTTCGAGGCGAATCCGATGGTGGCGACGAGGGCCTTCGAGGAGGCCCAGAAAGGGGAAAACGAGGCAAGGGTAGCGATGGGTGTGCCTTCAGCTCCTCGGATTCACCCTCGTCCCAGCCCCGCCCGGCGGGCGGCCACCAAGTGGCACTCTGGTGAATGCGGCCAGCCCGCGAGGCGGCCCGCGGGCCAGCCACCAGGCGACACCCCGCGGAGCCCATCCAACGAGAGATCCGAATCTCCTGGTGCACGCGCTGCCAGGGGGGGAGGAGCGACCGAGCAGAGGTGTCACAACACGAAGGCGTGGCTCAACGAGTGGATCTTGCGTGGGCCGTTCTTGCTCCTCGTCCGAAGGAAACGCAGGAAACCATGAACGAGGGGGAGCGGCTCCACGAGGGGGGACGCCTGGATGTAGATCAGACCCATGTTGAGGCAATCTGCGTCCAGGTGCCGCGCCATTAAGACCTGGGCATCCTCGGCGCTCGCGATGGCCTCCGGGAAGCAAGGCGAAAGAAAGACCCCGCCTTGCGCAACACTCTCTGATGAACCTGCCAATCGAAGCCTTTTTGCACCACTCGTGCGCATTGGAGCGAAGGGGGCCGATGTAGACGATGACAGCGACTGTAAAGGTGGCAATTCACGCGACAGCGATGGTCATGATTGCGTTTATCGCAGACGCAGGTTTAAGCATGCAGCAGACTCACTGCACTGCTTGAGGTGAGTGAGCCCCCCAATCTGCCAGTTCAATCTTCCAACGGTCTGGGCGCAAAACAGATGCGTTTCTGCGAGCGCAGTGCATCCACGGAGGCAAACTTCACCAGAGAGCGTAGGAACACTAGGTGGCGCGACCAGGGAGAAGTGAGACGGGAAGGGCCTTCTCAGAAAGCTCTGAAAACCTCGGGCTTTCTGAGAATGTTTCTGAGACGTCCCCGAAGACACGGAAAACTTCTCAAAGGCGCGAGGAATTCTGAGAAGTGCCGCCGCCTTCTGAGAAGTCTACTTCTGACTTCCTCCCCTCGCTCGCCGACGAAACACAGCCACAAGAATAGACTGATTGAACATGCGAGGCCTCATACCTGCAGAGTTGGCCCATGAGAGGAGCCTGGCGAAGCCATGGGGAGCACGAAGGATCTGAGGCCTGCTGCTGCCCTTCGTGCGGAGCTGATGGAGGACAGGTCCCAATCGCACCCGAGCTCACCAGTCGGGCTGGACGAAAGGGGGGGTATAGCATAGGGGGTGTTAGCAAATCAGCTCACGTCGCTGACTTTCCCTGCGCCTCCTGGCGCGGAACAATGGGCCCCTCGACAGGACCGAAACCAGCTGCGTGCAGCAGATTTCGCAACTCCCCTTTCCCTGTCCCCCCCTTTCGTCCGACCCGAACCTGGTGGGAGCAGAGCTATATGCGCAAAACCGACCAGATCGACGTCTGGCCTGAGCATCAGCAATCGAAGCACCATAATCGAACGGGCTCCACCTGAGCGCCAAACTCGAACCTGCCACAGCAGGACTGCCGCGATGACCGCTGCTGGATGGATCGGACGCAGCAGACATCGTGCGCAGTCGGGCAACACTCCACCGGCCGTCAGCCGGACGGCATCGCTCCTCTGCCCTGGGGAGACGGGCCATTCGGAGCCTGGACCGGAGGCTGACGACAGCCGTTTGGATCCGACGGTTTCTGGGCACGGCGTGCAGCACGGGCAGGCCTGGCGTGCCGCTCCTCCTCCGAATCGTCGCATCTTCATCATCCTTCCTCCTCCGCCTCATCCTTCTCCTCCCCCTCTCGGCGAGACGTATGACTCGAATCTGGAGGACTCGAGTTGGCCTGACAGGGCCGACAACAAAATGACGAGACCCAATCTCAGATTTGGCACGAACTGCCATTGCACACATCCAACCACCAAAAAGCGCCCTCACACCCGAGCGCTGGCGAACTCGCGTCTTACGTTTCCCCGATCCTCGCCCGAGTCTCGCCTCCTGCTGCGACACCTGAAGGGAAGGACGAGGATAAAGATGAGGAAGGGAAAAGGCAGGGAGGGAGAGAGGAGGCAGGAGAGAGGGAGGGAGGAGAGAAAAGGGAGGGAGGAGGCAGGAGGGAAGGAGGAGAGAAAAAGGGGGGACCCTCCCCCCTTTTTCTCTCCTCCTTCCCTCGTGGAGGGAGGGAGGAGGCAGGAGGGAAGGACGAGGATAAAGACGAGGAGTCGCGCGCCGCGGGCCGCGAAGATCCTCGCCCCCCCCGTGGCGGCCCTCGCTTCGCGCCCCTCCCCTCAATGTGCCTCTCGCGCTCTCGCTCGAGGCCGTGAAAAAGGGCCCAGCTGCTCCTCCTCCTGCTGCTCCTCCTCCTCCTGCTCCTCCTCCTCCTCCTCCTCCTCCTCCTCCTCCTCCTCCTCCTCCTCCTCCTCCTCCTCCTCCTCCTCCCGGCCCTCGTCGGCCTCTCCCTTCCGCCGACCGACGGTGGAGCCTCCAGGTACATGCGGGGATCTTCGAAAAAGAACGTGTCGAAGTCGAACGCCAGTGCATCAACACCAAGGTGCAGCAACAGATGCACCTTCCAAAAGCCAGCTGCACGCCGTGGTGTGTGTGTGTGTGATTGTGTGTGGGGGGCGCCAGGTCGGAAACCGCAGAGGGGGGGACATGCACACGGGAACGGAGGAGGTGCAGAACGACGCGATGCAAAGAGCGGCAGAGCAGGCACGCCAAGATGAGGGAACCGTTGGGGAAGGGAAGACCGGAGAGTAGAGAAGGAGGTGTGGGAGTCTAACAAAGTATGCGTACCAAACGGTGCACGGTATCCCCATGCAAAATGCAGGATGCAACCACTGTTGAATGCATGCGCGTAACCGCCACGCGATTTGTATGTGCGAATGATTCCCAATCCCATGGGCAGTGATTGGTCACAGGCAACTCGCAAATCACCCTGTCTGAAACAGAACCTCCATCAACGCGCTTCACAAAAAAGGTGGATAATGATGGTGAGCGGGAGGTGGAGGAGAAGGATGGAACATGGTTTAGGAGAAGGGGGCGGAGGAAGCGGGAAAATATTAAGAAGATGGGGAACATGATGAAGCACGTCGAATGAAAAATGAAACAAGTGGCAAGTAAATCGCGAACGCAATGACGGCACACAAATACGAATACAAGCAAGAACAATACAGCCCCTGACACATATACAATGCTGACCATGTGCGCCCACCCCCCGGTGACGAATGGACAACAAGTGGCCACTCAACTTTGAATTGGCGGGCAGAGGTGGACGCATCGCATGTCACAGAAACGTGGGAGCAACAGGCGCGCGCGATCACAACGTCCAATTCAACTCGCCACGTTCTTCCCTCCGCTGAAATGGGAGGATGGAACAGCAGGCGGAGGCATGAAGAAGAAGCTCTGTCGGACATCCTCGCATCCTGTTGACGCCACTGGATGAAGGAACGATGCACGCGAGAACGCCGCTGCTGCAAAGCACTGCAGCACACACGGGGGCAGATAGAGACAGAGAGAGAGAGGAACGGAGGAGAGTCCACGCCGGTCCAAGACGCGCGAGGACCAGGCGGCCCGAAGTAGCTGGAGCGAGAGGGAGGGGGAAGAACGGGAGGACAGTGTCCCGTCCTGCTCCCTGTCCCCTCATCCCCCTCACCCAGGAGATACTCATCCCCCTCTTCCTCCTCGCCCTCCTCTTATGCGCCGCCTCGGCACCCACCGACGAGCAAGTCCAGAGAGGGGCTGAGATGACAGAAACATTAGGGCCAGCAGGAGACCCCTGTGGTCACCGCCCACCACCACTCCGCCGCCCCCGCCTGAAGGGGCCAGGGTGCCCTTCGGCCACGGGAGTTTTCCCGAGGCAAGGGGTCTCCTCTGGGCCTTGAAGACGTTGTCACAAGGCCCCAGGAGACGAGGAGGGGTGCCCCAGCAGTAAGCTCCAAACCTCTTGCAGAAAACAATGCCAACCCCTGCCTCCAGAGAGCGGGCAACCCGAAGAACATGGGCCTTGCCAGGCCCTGGGCGGTCCCGACGGGCCCAAAGACTTGGAGTTAATTGACCGCACGCGGTCCTCTCGCATCTCCTCCTCCTGCATCTCCTCCTCCTCGTCCTCCTCCTCCTCCTCTTCCTCTTTCTCTTCTTCCCTCCCCCCCCCGTCCTCCTCCCACCTTTCTCCGATGGTGGGGGGCATCAGATCGCCCCCTCCCTCCCCCCACCTCCTTCTGTCCCTTCCTCCGCTTGAGGAGAAGAGGACGAGGAGGATTCCTCGTCTTCGTCCTCCTCTTCTCCTCTGCCTCCTCCTCTTCCTTCCACATCCCCCAACCCTCCTCCCACCTCTCGAATCCCTCCTCCCTCCTCCCACTTCTCCACCCCCCCCTCCCGTGTCCCACCTCCACCTCCTCCCCTTCCTCGTGCTCCCCTCCGTCGTCGTCCTCCTCCTCCTCCTCCTCCTGCCATTCCCTCCTCGAGGCCCCCTTTCCAGACGGGGGGGGGCCGGCAGGACGGCGGCCCCGCGCACCATCGCGTGCCGCTGCAGGATGGAGCCGCGTTGGGAGCTGCCCTCCGCCGCCCCGGTGGCGCCCTTCAGCGGGTCCCAGCAGGCGACGCCCTGCCCCCCCCCCCGCAAGCGCCGAGGGCACGTGCAAGCCTCTCCTGCTGCTGCTGCTGCTGCTGCCAGTGCACCTGCTCCAAGTCCTCCTCCTCCTGGTGCTGATCCTCGAACTACCCGCTCTCCTCCTCCGGGTTCTTCTGCCTCCTGCTCCTCCTCCTCCTCCTGCATCTCCTCCCAGTCTCTAGTCCTCTCTCCCTCCCCAACGTCTCTATGTATCCCTCCTTCTCCCCCTCGTCGTCGTAGTCGTCGTCGTCGTCCTCCTCCTCCTCCTCCTCCTCCTCCCCCAGAGTTCCGTCGAAACAGACGAAGGTAGTGTCTCAGTCACTCTGAAAGGTGTACTTCTACCGGGGAGCCCGCTCATCGCTTGATGGGGCACTGGCTCAGGGGGGAGCACGTCGACCTGGAACATCGGCTCTGCGTCGCCGACGGATCGGCGACGTGCGCCACCGAGAAACCGAATCCGCACGCTCCTGGGCGGGGAAGGTTGCCAGGCACACACATCGGCGATCACTGCGTGACGGGGGGTCGATGCGTTCCCCCTGAACCTGTCCCCCTCGAACGTTGCCCCTGACCGCTTGGGGTCCCGAGACGGGCCGTTGACGCGCCCTGCCGGTTGGGGAGGACGGCAATCCCCAACAAGATTCGGAAGACAAGCCGACAAGCAGCCGTCGCCCACCGTGAGATGGCTCAACACAAGCAGTCTCGAGGTCGTGACCGGGGAGGTCGGGACCGCCTTCCTCGTCCTTCTCCTTCTCCTCCTCCTCCTCCTCCTCCTCCTCTTCCTCCTCCTCCTTCTTCCCTGCTCCTCCTCTTCCGCCTCCTCCTCTTCTCACTTCTTCTCCTTCTCCTCCTCCTCCTCCTTCTCCTCCTTTACTTGTCCCTCTGCTTCATCCTCTTGATGCTCTTCCCCCTGCTGCGGAGACCAAGCCGATCAAACGGATTGGTGGGCTACGACGCTCAAGGAATTTCTTGGACCATGCGGTCGCTCTCTATCTTGAGAGATGAACATGGCATCGATGAGTTGCCATGATTCGGGCTCTTTTGAAACGAGCTCCGACCAGGGTTCTGGAATGGGATCTGGGAGTTCGCCAGAACATGAATCGCGCCTGCACGGATGACATTCCTTGTTGGCTCACGTCTAAGCAATGTCCCCACTCCAGAACGGCACGTCTGTTTCCTGTGATGGTGTTTGGACTCGTGACAAAGCCCGTTCCTCCAAGGGATACGTGATCGATACGGATGGTGACTTGTACCGATCTGATGCGGACAGCATCCGTTACAGCTCCGCCCACGAGGGCGAGTTAGTTCCAGCTCAAGTGTGGACTTGGGCAGCTGAAGCCTGTGATGCTCTCGCTTGTCATGGCATCTTCCCCTTGCCCCACTGAACACCTTCCCCTGCCCCGCTTCGAATAATGGGCGGTTGTGGATTTATGCGGATGATTTAAGAGGAACCCGACTTCGATCAGGACCTGAGGGGTGAGATATTTGTTTATGGCTCGAGCCTGCGACATCGAATATTGGATCCAACGCGAGTGCTGAGCACCATCCCTGTCGTGCTGCTGCAAAGCTTATTGTCCAGGTCTCCTCTGTGTACTCGGGGTACCCACATGCGGCTGTCTATGCCCAATTGCACTGTTCTCAACAATGCAAGCACGAACGTCTGTGCTCTAGCTGTGCCCAGCTCGTTCGCCCCAACTTCCCCTCCCTCATTATGAGTCGAGCGAAGCGAAGCGAAGCGAACGCCAGAGTCGTGCGCGCTCCACTGGGGAGCCCGCCCGTGCCAATTAGGGCATGGCGTGGAGGCCGTTGCCTCAAAAATGTGTTACGTAGGCGGGCTCACAAGATAATCACCACTCTGTCTGCCTGGCCGCCGACAGCCACCGCAAGTCATTTGTATTGTTGGGTTGATGTTGTCGTGGTTTGGTCGCTGCTAGTATCTGCTCCTGCCCGGCGTCGTCGTCGCACTGGTGCCCGTCCAAGCTGTGGAGAAACTTCCGGATGTCGTTTTCCCACCGTGTTTGTTGACCTCCACGTTGTCGCCGCCCTTGCTGTGAATAAAATGAAGCTTGTTGCAATGTTGAGGAAGCGGTGGACGACCGTGGCCGCTTCTTGCGTTCAAGCAACAACTATGTCGATGCTTCTGCCAAGCTCGCTGCGCCGTCGTACCCTTCGGCGTCCTTTGGAAAGCTCGATCGTCGAGACAGACAACATGCTGCTGCCAGGGCCCTGGGGGTTTTAGCTGCTCGCCTTCTGCCTCTGTGGCCTTCGCTCGACTTGAGTCCCGAGGTCGTCAGAGAGCGGGACGTGGCCCCAAGCAAAACAACTGGCGCGCACTATCTTGCTCCGACTCATCTACGCTGGTGGTCTGCCTTCAGCGCGCCCCGGCCTCGCCGCGTAGCTGGGCGAGCCGGCCCTCGACCGCCTGCTCGGTCTCCGCTCTGGCGCTGAAGCTGGCGATATTGGGCCCCGGATGCGCCCCCCGCTTCTCGCGCGCGCTGCTCCCAGCGCTGTAGCTGATATTGGGGCCCGAGGAAGAGGAGGAGGAGGAGGAGGAGGAGGAGGAGGAGGAGGAGGAGGAGGAGGAGGAGGAGGAGGAGGAGGAGCTTTGCCGGCCCCTTCTCGCGCGTCCTAGCCCCAACGCTGTAGCTGATGGCGTCGGGCTCTACCTTCGCCCCCCCGCTCCACTTCTCGCGCGCGCTGTGCCCTGGCTCGCCCTTCGCCTTCTGCCGCCGCGGCCCGTCCTTCTCGCGCTGTCACTGCCCGCCTTTCTCGCAAGCGCAGGGTGCGTCCTCTTGAAGCTGCCACTGCCCGCCTTTCTCGCGCGCGCAGGGTCCGCCTTCTTGAAGCTGCCGCTGCCCGTCCGCTTGAAGCTGCTACTTCCCGTCCGCTTGAAGCTGCCGCCGCCCTTCACGCGCGCTTGAGGCTGCCACTGCCCGTCTTTCTCGCCCGCTTGAGGCTGCCGCTGCCTGTCTTCCTCGCGTTCGCGGTCTTGGCCCTCCTGAAGCTGCAACTGCCCGTCCTTCCCACACGCGCAGGGTCCGTCTTCTTGAGGCTGCCACTTCCCGTCCGCTCGAAGCTGCCGCTGCCTGCCCTTCTCGCGCGCGCGGGGCCCTTCGCCTTCCGCCAGCCACGTCGAGGCAATCACTGCCCGAACCATCCACATGGCCCTGCTCGTACCGTCCTTCTCGCAAGCCCTGATCGCATCGCTGTAGCTGATGGCGTTGGGCTCCGTCCTCGCCTCGCACTTCTCGCGCGCGCTGATGATCACCTTCGCGCCCTCCCTGGTCGCAGCGCTGTAGCTGATGGCGTTGGGCTCCGTCCTCGCCTAACGTTTCTCGCGCGCGCTACTGATCCCCTTCGCAGCGCCGTAGCTGGTGGCGTTTGGCTCCGTCCTCGCCTCAGCATCCCGCAGTAGATGGCGGCATCTGGAAGCTGCCACTGTCCGCCATTCTCGCGCGCGCAATCTCCGCATTCCCGATGCTGCTACTGCCTGTTCACTTGAGGCTGCCACTGCCCGTCTCTCTGCCGCTGCCCGTCCCCGTAATCCTGCGCCCACTGCGGGCCCCACCGCGGCTGGCGGCTGAAGCTAGGAACGAACGCTGGCGCCTCGCAGTTCCACCTGAACTCTGGCGGTACCCTCGTTGTTTCCCGCTGCCCTTGCCCCGTCTTCCCGCGCGCGCCCTCACAACTGACGACGTTGGGCTCCTTCCTCGCTCGCTCGAGCCATTCCGCCCATGCCTTCCACTTCTTTACCTCGCGTTTGAGGCGCTGCACCAACCTGTCGGCGGCTGCTCGCGCCCCAACTGCCCCCCGCACGGGCTCCCGTCGCGCCGGCGGCGCTGGGGGCATCAGCTCCGCGGGCCACGCCAGAATGGATATGGCCGAACTGCTGAACCGCCTGGAGGAGGAGGAAGAGGAGGAGGAGGAGGAGGAGGCGGAGGAGGAGGTGGAGGAAACAGAGGATGAGGACGAGAGGGAGGAGGAAGAGGCCCAACTACAACTCAAGGTGATAAAAAAAGGTGATCAAACAAATCTCCTGCTACAGGTTCCGCATCTCCAGCTGCTAGGCGCAAAGCGGGGCAAAGTGCCTCAGAATGCGGCTGGGCACCCCGCAGCGGGCCGCCAGCAGCTGCGCCGTGACGTCCCGCATGAGCATCGCGTCGATCTGCGTCCGCCAGCGGCGAAAAGAATCGCCTCATCCGGCCCTTCTGGTGCGCGCGCCTGGCATGCACCGCCGCGCACTCTTCCAGGAGGGCCCATGCTCGCGCCCGGAGGCGGCTGGATGGTGATGATGATGTCGATGGTCCATTTTGATGTTGGTTATGGCGATGGTGATTATGGTAATGGTGCTGCTGCTGGTGGTGATGATGAAAATGGTTTAAGGTGATGGTGATGGGGGTGAGAATGGTGGTGCTGGTACTGAAGATGGTGATGATGCTGAGGATGACGCTACTGAAAATGATGATGATTTTGGTGACGGTTGTAGGGGTGAGGCTGATGATCATAATGATGATGAAGGCGATGAGACAGATTCTTCCAATGATGAGGAGGAGAGGAGAAGGAGGAGGTGGAGGAAGACGAGGAAGAGGAGGACAAACAGTAGGAAATGTATGTAGGAATGGATAAATGAAGGCCCAAGAAATAATATTACGGTTGCAGTCTCAATAGAGGCGCAACTCCGTTTCCGCGCCAGCGGCGCGCATCAACGCGGGGGCGCTGGCTGAGACCGGCCTCCGCCCCCCTTCAGCAAGCTACCGCCTAGTCGCGCCAGGGGAGACACCGAACCTGAACACGTTTAGGGGGAAGCCCGTTAAGGGACGCGAAGGCCCATCCCACCCGCAAGAAACGCAGCTTTGCTCTGCGCCCGAAACACCGCAAGCACGTCTACGTGTGACCCCCCAACGCAGGTTGCAACTCCCACAAGGGCGCAGGACATCCTGCTGGGGCGCCAGGGCGAAGGACATCTTGCTGGGGCGCCATAAGGGTGCGCACGACGTCCACCCCTGTGTTTTTTGACACATCGGCCGCGCCGCCTTTCTTTTAATGAGGGTCCGAAGGGAAGTGGGTGGAGGGACCTCCTGGCTCACGCCATTACGACGATCGCTCCCTGGAGTGGAAGGGCGGGGGGGAAGGGAGGGGACTACCACAACACACTGGGATCATCGGCAATAAACCGCATGACCGCGCGGTGCCAGCGGGCGCCCAGGCTGCACGGCTTGTCGCCGTAGCAGTGCACATGAACACCGCACTGGCCTGACGGCAGAGGAGATAGAGAAGGAGGAGGAGGCGCAGGAGGAGGAGGAAAAATAGTAAAACTACAAATGCGGATACCCGTATTAAAACAAAACACGAACAAACAGCACGTCATACTACTACGGAGGTGTACTCAACAAACGAGTAATAGCGCCGATAATAAGTATCATCAGTACCATCATCCATAAAACAAACACAATAATCATAATACGACGGCACACAAACAAACATATCATATTCATGATATGATTAATACTCATCGTAATACTACAACTAATGAGCATACGACTGATACGTACAGTACTAAAACTCATGCTACTAGTACACATAACGCTGGAACGGATGATCGTAGTAATACGACTCGGAAAATAATACACATAAAACGACGGACAAGGAGGAATAATATGAGAAGGAAGAGCAGGAAGAGGAGGAGGAGGAGGACCAACAGGAAGAGGAGGAGAAGGAGGAGAGGAGGAGGAGGAGGAGGAAAAACCATCGGCCGAGAAGCAGGAGCAGGAGGACCAGGAGCAGGAGCAGGAGCAGGAGGACCGCCGCCCCCGTCGGCGCCGGTGCGGAGCCGCCAAGCGCCCGCGCAGCAGCCTCACACGCGGTGCGGCAGGCGTCGCCCACGGCGCCGGGGGCTTGCCCGAGCGGGGCCCGCCTCGCGACTGCCGCGCCGCCGGCTCTGGGCGGCGCCCATGAGGAAATCACGAGCGGCGAGCACATCCGCATCCGGGGCGCGATCCCGCGGATGCGCGGTCTCGCGGATGCGCCCCGCGCGGGGCATCCGCGAACAGGCGCCCTGTATCAGTGGGGTCGCGGCCCAAGGGTCGGGACCGCGAGGCCGCGGACACGGACATGTTTGTCGCCCACGAGGAAGCCCAGACCCCCTCGCGTTGCAAGCACGAGTCACGACAGAAGGCTTTTTGGCCGTTTTCCGTCTCCAGTGGGGGGTACGCAGAGGTGGGGCTAGGGCAGATGTGGTGATGGGAAAATCGCACTGGACGGCCCCTGGAGAGGGAAAGCGCCAGCCTCAAGCTGAGTATGCCCCTAACCCCACCTTGGGCGAACCTCCCTCTACGTATCCACGATCCGGGGGCTCTCGCCGAGCTCCAGGACCGAAACAACACGGCACGAGATGAAACCTGGTCCTGGGGAAGGGGTCCAGACCTCTGGGGTCTCTCACGGCGTCGGAGTTCTGGGTGCTCCTCCTCCTCCTCCTCCTGCTCGTCGTCGTCGTCCTCCTCCTCCTCTTCCTCCTCCTCTTCCTGATGCTCGTCCTCCTCCTCCTCCTATTCTGCCTAATGCCCATCCTCGTCCTCCTCGTCATCCTCATCATGGTCGTCACTGTCGAACTCCTCCTCCTGAGTGTGGCGTGACGCCGGGCTATAATCGCCCGGCTGTTCGGCGATGCTCAAAGCAAGAGGGCGCGTGATGCCCCCACTCCCCTGGGCTTGGCGCTCCCATCGTAGCTCGAACAACTCCTTTACTCACACATCGCCCACCACCCTCCGCCTCCGCCTCCTCCTCCTCCTCCTCCTCCTCCTCCTCCTCCTCCTCCTCCTCGTATTCCTCCTTTTCCGCATCCTCACCTGCCCCTCGCGTTTGAATTTCCCTCCTTCCTCCTGCTCCCTTCTCCTCCTCCTCCTCGCCCTCCTCCTTCTATTTCCTCATGAAAGGAGGCTCCCATTATGCGCCCAGCTCTGGGTGAGCGGGCGGGAGAGGGGGAACGAGAGGAGAAGGGCACGGTGTGCGTCAAGGGTGGGGGAGAGAAGTCGGGGAGTCGGAGGGGAAGTGAGGGGAGAGGGAGGAGCAGGATAAGAGAGCGGAGAAGGGGCCTACCTAAAAGGTTTGGGCGCGTCTCGGGCGTCCCCGCTTGTGGCCCCCCGGATGGCGACGATCACGACGCCCATCGCCAATCTCATGGCCCATGCGGCGAAGCGCGGGATGAGCCTGGCCCACTTCTTGCCCCACACGAAGGTCACCGCCACGACCTTGGTCCCTCCCCGGTGATTGGAGAGAACAGCCACTGGAAATCACCGTATGTTTGGCCTCTTCCTCTCGTTTTGTTTATGCTATTCCGATCAAGCTGTATAATAAGGACGCACGACAAGGATGCAAGTGCCTTGGAAGGCCACGCCGACACTTTGCGAGCGGGGCGCGGCCAGCGAAACCGGCCAAGGATGGGCCGAAGGTGAAGGATGCAAGGGAATCCTTGGAATGTTGTTCACCCTTATTGTGCGGTTTGACTGTGCCATGCTTATCATTATTATTCCTCCTCCTCCTCCTCCTGAAAATAGTCACCCATAACACCTACGAGTAACGTTCATGCCCTGAACCTCCTTCGGCCTCCTCCGTTCCTTTCCCTCCTTGTCCCTTTTCCTTGCATCTGCCTCGCCCTCCTCCACATCGTCGTCGTCGTGCACCTCCCCCCCCGCTTCCTTCACTTCCTTTTCCTACTGCTCGTTTCGTACTCCTCATCCTCGCTCTTTTCCCTCCCCCACCGCGTTGTCTTCGTCACCGTCCTCCCCATTCACATCTGCGTTTCCTCGCCCTCAACCTAATCGCGCTCCCCCTCTCCCATTTTTGTCCGCTTCCACCTCCTCCCCTGACTCCTCATCCCTCCTCCCCCCTCCCTCCGTGTCCGTCATACCCTCCTCTCCCACCTGTTCCTGACCCTCGTGCGCGAACCCTTGTAGCACATGGTCCCCGCATCGCCGGCCAGGGACGGCGCCCATTCGACAGAGCTCATCTCATCCCGCCAGTGTCTGGAAGGATATATGGGTCCATTTGCTGGCAAATACGTGAAGGATTTTTTGTTTGACGCCGCCCGCTAGAGAACCCAAGCTCCATGAATAACCGCGCAAGCGAGCACTCCAGTGACTACCGGTGGCACCAGTGACCTTTCATCACGGGCGAGGATCAACGTGAAGGCAATTCAACTGTGGCTACATCATTATTTAGAAGCGATGGATGACTGACGCACCCAAATCCAAGCCCCCCTCCAGACAAATCACGCACAACAGAGCGTATAGTTCATCTCAAAAGTACAAGCCCCCCCCCTCCTAACCAGGCAGCTCCCTATTCTGACCTGCTCCAGCCTCTGTCGGCACTGCGCCACAGCTAACCTGATCCATTAGAGCTAACGTGAATAACGGCTTGGCGACACCAGAGCGCCACGAGCGCGCTGTAGCAAATTATGCGCCAGCGTAGAGCGACACAACAACACGCAATGCAAACGTGCAAAGTGTATCCCGTATCCCTCTCCGGCTCCAATGAGCGAGCGCTGAAGCGAGAGGTGTCGCGAGCGCACGCTGTAGCGTTTATTCCTTCGCCAACTGCTTCTCCTAGGCCAAGCAAGCATCCAACGATGCCCTGAGGAGCTCCGTCCGCACCAATCGTGCGCGACGCTCGTGCAGCACCAGCCGACGGCGTTTGGAACCCCACCTGCTGCTCCTCCACCTCCCCCTCTAAGTCGTCCACCACTGCAGTGCCAAGAAACAACTGCCTGATGCCTTCGCCCGGGCTCGTCGAGGACATCGAAGTGGGCTGGCTCAGCGCTGGCGCGCAGCTGGCCGATCTCCCTCGAGGCCACTTTCGGCGCCGACTCGAGGCGGGGGCACCCGCCGCGCCGCTCCCCGCACCGCCAGAGGCGGGCGACCATGCCGGCAGGAGCGGGGGTGCTCACCGCGGTCCCCTTCGACTGAGATGCATCCACGGCGTTGATCCTGTCGTCGTACGGGGCGGAGATGTCGGTGACCGCCATCGGAGCGAGGACGGGCGCCAACGCGAGCTCATCCTTCACGGGCTTCGGCAGACCGTAGACGGCGCCCAGCTTGGCGGCGGCCTCAGCCTTCCGCGTCTTGAAACCCGCCTCGGCCACGCCAAGTACCTTGAACATGTGGTCCAGCACCGCCATGAGAGGGCGGCGGTCGGCGAAGACCGCCATCCACGAAGGCGCCAGGGTGGCCAGCAAGCGCCTGCTCGCGGCCTTCAGGCGAGCCGCGGTGAGGCTCAGCGCCGAGAGGGCGAGGCGGCGCTCCAGCGGGGCCCCCGCGGTGACAAGCCCCCGCTGAGCCAGCCCCTGCCTGCCGTCCATCTCGGCGCCCACCAGCGTCGCCAACAGCTCCTGAGCTACCGCTTTCGCGGTCGACCCGGGCAACCCTTCTCGGGCGTAGGCCTGGCGGGCGGCGGCCAGCAGGGCCGCGTCCGCCCCAGCTTCAGAGCGCGCGCTCTGCACATGAACTCGCTCCACCACGAAGTGGTCGCCGACGCAGAGCCCCTGCGCCGCGGGGCCCGCGGGGGCGAGCTCCATCCCGCAGATCGTCTCTGAGTCGGCGAGGCAGCCTCCTCGGCGGGGGAACTCGCCGTGGGCCCCCTGAGCCGAGTCCACCGCAGCATGGTCGCCCACGGGGAGTGGCGAAGCGCCCGCCCTCGGGCGCGCGATGCTGGGCCGAGCGGGCGGCGCCCCCGCGCGCTGCCTGGCGGCTGTCCGCCGCCTCGGACGGCGGCGCCCCCCCGCTCCTCCAGCGCCCTCGCGGGGTCGGACGGGAAGTCCGCGTGGGCCCTCAACTCGCGGGCAAGGCCGCAGGCGTCGGTTGACTCTCGTGCGTCACTGAAGGCGAGCTGGTGGTAGAAATCCTTCCGATCCACCGCCGGCCCCCGCGGCGTGCTTGACCCCCTCGCCGCGCGAAGGCCGGCCATGCGCGGGCCCGCAGCGAGTCCTCCCGTAGGGCCCTCGGGCAGCCGTCCTTCGAGCCAATTTGGCCCTCTGCGGTCGAAGATCTGCCTGTCGCGGTCCGCGCCCTTGAAAACGTCGCCGACCTGGCTCGCCGCGCGGGCGTGGGCGTCCGCGCGGGCGTGGGCGCAGAAGGCCCGCGGCGCCCCGCAGGCGCTGCAGCTGCAAGTCCGCCTCCGCCCTCGCCATATGCGCCGAGGGCCAGGGCAGCGAGGGCGGCGAAGGCGACCGCGTGCGCAGGCAGCGAAGCTCGACGAGGGCAGCCACAGATCGGGCGGCGCGAAGTCATGGGCGCCCCAGTGGGCGAGGCCCTCGGATATCCCCAAGCGCGAAGGGTCTAGCGGTCCAACCGCCGCGCTCGCAGGCCTGGAACGGACAGCAGGTAGCGGCGCCAGATGGCACGGGTCCAAGTCATGCAGGAGGTCACCGCTGGCCCCCGCCAATTGGGCAATCTCCTCGAAAATTCCAGCGGCCCCACGCGCTCAGGAACAGCTCGATCAGCTCGACGATTAGCCTCTGGCTGGGGGAGAGCTGTCTCCCGAGGTCCCGCTTGGAGGGGTAGCGCGGCCTATTGCTGCGCGCGAAGCCCAGGGCCATCGCGATGACGTTGCAGACGCGGGCCCTGGCCTCCTGCCAGCACGTTCGACGGCGCCTGCGGCGAGATTTGGAGGCGCGTCGCTGTTGCTCCTGCTCGGCGTAGGGCAGCGGCAGCGGGAAGAGCGCGGTAGCGAGGCTCTGCCCAGCCCTGCGCTCGGCGCTAAGCGCGGCCCTCAGGCACCGCGAAAAAAGAACAGCCGACGCGGAGGACCATCCTGGTGAACACCCTGCACCAGCTGAAAGGGGTCGTCGCTCCCCCTTGGCCTTCGGCCGCCTTGGGGGGCGGCGAGGCCGTCCGTCCTCTTCCTCGGCAGCCTGCTCTGCCCCCGACGCCGTCGCCGCTGCGGCCTGGGCGGCGCGCGGCGGCGGCCGGCGATTGGGGGGCGCGTCGAGCTCCTTCAGGTAGGCGAGGGCCAGCGTTGCCTACTCGGGGCCGGCTAAAGCAGGGAAGCCGCGCAGCGGGGCCCGTTCGACACTGCGACTCAGCTTGGCGGGCAGGGGGTCCTCCTGCAGGGTCAGCAGCCAGGCCGTGGTCCACCACCCGTGGTCCAGCGTGGCCTGCCCCAGCCATCGCTAGGGCTGCGACGTCCGCGGCCTGGTCGCACACCCCGCGCATCAAGTGGTTCAGCGCGGCAGCCGCCAACGTGGCCTGGCACGCCGCGGGTCGCCCTGCGAAGCTGTCGGCGAAGCCCCCCGAAACCTCCGAGTATTCCAGCGCATCGGGCGCCCCATCTGGAGCGCGAACAGGGCCCAAGCGGCGTCTCGCCATGTTGCGGATCACCGGCGTCGAGAGCGCCCCAGGCTGCGCCTCCAGGAGGCCTTGGGGCCTGAGTCGGTTGGCCGAGCCGCGCGCGCCGACGGAGCTCGTCGAGGAGCGCGCCAGGTCGCCTAGCATGTCGGCGCCTGCCCCTCCTCCTGCGGGGCCCGCCACGCCCCCGCTCGCGCCCGTGCCGCACGTGGGCCCCCGTCAGTCTCACCAGCGCCTGGGTATGGAGCAGGAGTTGCGCCTGGGTGTCGTTCAGGTCCTCGGCGTCGACGTCGATCGGCACAGGAGGTGGCGACTGCGGGGGCGCAGGGGCCCTGGCCCGCCCGGGCGCTTCGGCGCGGCCGCAAGATGGCGCCTCGCCACGGCCCCCAACGGCGGCCTTCGCCGCCGCTGGGGGCGGCGCCGTGTCTGGCGTGGCCCCCGCAGTCCGCGGGGGCGGCGGCGCCTGTCGGCTGCCTCTCCAACGCGATGGGCCGATCCGTGACTGGGGCGAAGGCTGCGGCCGCTGTCGAAGTGATCAGGGCGGCCAGCTCCTCGGTCGGCACCGCCCCTGAATGCGGGGTCGGGGAGAGGGCGCTGGCCTTCGGCACCGCGCCCCCCCCCTTCCGAGGCGGCGTGGTAGCTGATGCGGGGCGCGAGCCCCGACGTCTGCAGCCGCTCCTCGGCTCTCTCCACCAGGGCCGTCGCCTCGGGCAGGGCCTCCGACGCGTTGAAGCGCAGCGCCTCCAGCTCCTCCTCCAAGCAGTCCGAGTCCGCCAGGGACTGCAGCTGCTTCAGCACCTTCAGCGTGAAATCGACCAGGTAGATCTCAACCCCGTTCGGCGGGCCCCCGCCGGCGTCGAGCGGCACCGTCGTGAGCCAGCAGGGCCCCGCCAGTGCCCGCGGGCCTGCCACGCCAGCTCGGCTCGACTGAGAAGGAGATATCATCGCTGGGGGCCGCCATCCTGAGGCCATCGGCTCTCGCCATCACGGGAATGGCCTCGCAGTGCGTCGAACTGAGCTTGAGGCGCCATGGCTCCGCCGCGCCCGAGGTGGCCAATGTCAAATCGCCTATCTGCAGCGGGGGGCTGCCACCGACATCCGTGATCAGCGAGGCAGGGAGGAAAACCAGCTCCCTCGAGGTAGGCTTCGGCTTCCTCGAGGCTGGCAAACCCGTGGCCCGCCGCGGCGAGCCAGGCCGCGCCGCCGTTGCCCTCGGCGAGGAGGGCCCGAAAGTGGGCACAGGCCCAATGACGATGGGGCAGCCCGCAGCACCACGTAGAGTCGGTTCGCGGGCACGTTGAGCGCGACCACGGCGAGAGGCGACTCGTCGTCGACCTCGCGGCGGCCGTCCAAGCGCCCCCGCCAGAAAGCACGCCGCGCCCTGGCGCTCGGCGGAGCGCGGGCCACAGGCGGTGGGCTTGCCGCTGGATGCGCTCGGAGACCTCCTCGAACGCCACGGGCACGTCCAAGTCGTCCGACTCGGGCTCGTCGACCAGCTCCCACTCCTGCCCGTGCTCTGGGCCCGGCAAGGGCCGCCGTATGAGGACGGGGTGCCTGCGCTCGTCGTGCTCCACTTCAGGTTCGAGCTTGAAAGGGGCCAGCGCGTCAATGATGGCCTCGAGCGTGGCTTTGGGCATTCGCAGCCCTACCCCGTAGGCGTAGCCCTGGAGGCGACACCGTGCGGCCGCGGCCGAGACGCGCGCCAGTGCGGCGGCGGCGTCCCCCGCGGCGGCCGCCGCCTCGGCAGCGGGGAGCAGGGCTCGGGGCCCCGCGCGGGCAGCCGCGAAGCCCGCGGCGAACCCACAGAGGCCGCAGCAGCGCGCGAGGCACACTACGACCAAGAACTTGAGCAGGATGGCGAGGCCGCCGACCAGCAGCCACGCGTGGGACTGGCTCGAACCCCAGCAGTACGAGCTGGAGGCGGCCGAGACCGCGGAGCCAAGGGGAGCGGCGATCGACCCCCACAAACGCCCAGTCCAGCATCAACGGGCGCGGGCCTGGGGGGCGGCAGCAGGCTTGAGCCAAGACCCGACGAGAGAGGTGGCAGTCGAGCCTATTCTCAGAGATGTGGCCCACGCTCAAGCCGCAGCATCAGTCCGAGACAAATGTGGCGCCAGAGTGTCAGAATCCCACCAACCCCCTCGGCGTCGGTGATTTACAGCGTTTCCTCTTCCACCCCTCCTTGAAGGGTTTATCACTGTTCCCTATTAATAAACACCCCCTCCCCCAGGCGACTGGGGGTCAACCAGGATCCATGACAACACCCCCCCACCACCCCTGGCAACAAAAACAATACAAAACACACTCTGCCTCCAAATTCGGAACATGCGCAGCCAACCCGATGCGGCCTCCCCCCCACCATCCCTGTAAAAAACCAATGCCGAGCACACTTGGCGGCGGCAGAGGCTGCGGCGGCTGCGGCGGCGGTGGCGGCGGCTGCGGCGGCGGCGGCGGCGGCAGCGGCGGCGGGGGGGGGGCGGCGGCGGCGGCGGCGGCGGCGGCTGCGGCGCGGCGGCGGCGGCGGTGGTGGCAACGGCTGCGGCTGCGGCTGCGGCGGCGGTTCGGCAACGTGGGGCGGCGGCGGCGGCGGCGGCGGCGGCGGGCAGCGGCGGCGGCGGCGGCGGCGGCGGCGGCGGCAGCGGAGGCGGCGGCGGCGGCGGCGGATTGGCCCCCAGTAGCTGCCCATCCAAAGACGATTGCTGAATCAGCTGAGGTTCGGGCCAGACTCGGGTGCTACGTATGTGTTGGGAGGGCGGGTGGGAGTGAGCGAAACGGTTTGCGGGCGGGGAGGGGGTCTTGACACCTCCCCCTACCCCCTCCCCTGGACCTGGACGGGGGCGGGTCGCGAGTCGTCAGAGCGTCCAAAACGGCCTCGGCGAGGAAGCCAAACTCACTGATTTTACTAAAGTTTCGGCCCCATTTTGGCCTTCTGGGGGGGTGGCTCTAATCCGTACCCCCCCCTCCCGTGGTCGATCTCCCCCGAGATGGCCCCAACAGCGCTCCCAAGGCTCCCAAGGGTGCCCCAAGAGGGCCCCAAGAAGTGGCCAGGAGGCCCCAAGAGGCCCCCAAGAGGCCCCCAAGATGCCCCCAAAAGGCACCCCCAAAAACCCCAAAAGACCTCCAAGAGGAGCCAAGAGGCCCCCCAGAGGCACCTAAGACGCTCCAAGAGGCCTCGGCGACAATGCCCAAATCGCTGATTTTACAACGGATTTTGGCCTCCTGGGGGGGCACTGCTTCAGATGACTCCAAGAGCGCCTGGGAGAGCCAAAGATGATCTCCAAGATTGCTCAAAGTATCCCAATGGCGCCCACGATGCTCCACGGGGCTCCAAGACCGCTCCAAGACGGCTCCAAGTGGCCAAAGAGCCCCCCAAAAGGTCAAAATCCTTCCACAACCTTCGGGAAATCAATGTTTTTGGCTTTCCCGCCGAGGCCTTAAGATGGCTCCAAGATGGCAGATGGTCCAAGAGGGCTCCAAGAGCGCTCCCAAGGCTCCCAAGAGCGCTTCAAGAGGGCCCCAAGAGGCGTCCAGGAGGCCCCAGGAGGCCCCAACAGGCGC